CACTGGTCTAGATCAATGGAAATCATGGTTCTCCTCTATTCTGCTTTGGATAGAACTCACCCAGAATACTGTGTCTGGCACCACAATTCAAAAGGGATACTGACAAGCTGGAATGTGTCCAGAGGAGGACAACTAAAATGATCAAAGATTTGGAAACCATGCCCTATGAAAGAATTGGGTCTGTTTAGCTGACAGACACGAAGGTTGAAAGGAGACATAACTATGTTTTAATATATGAAAGGATGTCATAAGAAAGCAGGAGCAGGATTGTTTTCTGCTGCCCTGGAAACTGGGACTCGGCGCAATGGGTTCAAATTACAGGAAAGGAAATTCCACCTGGACATTTGGAAGAACTTCCTGACTGTAGGAGTTGTTCAGCAGTGGAACTCTCTGCCTCCGAGTATGGTGGAAGCTCCTTCTTTGGAGGCTTGTAAAGAGAGGCTGGATGGCCATCTCTCGGGGGTACTTTGATTGTGTTTTTCCTGCATGGCAGGGGGTTGGACTAGATGGCCCATGCAATCTTTTTAAACTCTATGATTCTATGAACGACTTTGCCATGGCTTGAATCCACACTTCTTTGAAATCTGTAAGAAGAAGCTGTTTGGGATTTCATATTTTGTTTGGTTATTTGATTATTCATGTTACATCCATATTTCCTGTTTTGTGTGTATATATGTGTGATGCTTCACTTCTATTCTTCACCGGAAAATACCGTAAATGTTGCAACAACAGCAGAGTTAAAAGGTCCTCTTTAGCCTATAAAATTATATAGAAGGTTATGCTGCTGGATAAAATATTTTAAGATAATTCAGAAAACAGTGCAAGATCTGAAGCATAAAACCCTTGTTCAAACAAAAATGATCAAACTAAAGGGTCTGATTGCTGGGGGGGGGGGGAACAATTCAACATAACCTTCCAGGTCTATCAATGGTTATTACGCATAAAGAGGCTATTAGACAGTGAGGCTAGACCAGGTCTGGGCCAACCTGGGCCCTCTGCGTGTTTTAGACTTCAACTCCCACTTCTAAGATCAGACGGTATATGATGCCTTTGAGGTATTCAATAATGGTAAAGGTTTCCCCTTGACATTAAGTCTATTATTATTATTATTATTATTTACATCACTTATATCCCACCCATATCAGCCCGCAGGCGACTCAGGGCGGTCTACATATCGGCACAATTCGATGCCATCAATACAATACAACAGCAAAAACAATTAAGTGCATTTAGACAAAAGAGACAGTGCAATAACAATTTTAAAAGAGCTATATCCTCTCATTCCAATCCTCATCCGTTTGAATGGCCGTTCCTGGGTCATTCTCCATCTCAAGCTTGACTATCTATTCCGGGGTTCCGAATGCTTGCTCGAAGAGCCAGGTTTTTACTCTCTTCCGAAAAGTCAGGAGCTGATCTAATATCCCTAGGCAGGGAGTTCCACAGCCGAGGGGCCACCACAGAGAAGGCCCTGTCCCTCGTCCCTGCCAAGCGTGCTTGCGAAGCAGACGGGATCGAGAGCAGGGCCTCCTCAGATGATCTTAACTTCCTGGAGGGTTTGTAGGAAGAGATGCGTTCGGATAGGTAGGCTGGGCCGGAACCGTTTAGGGCTTTATAGGCTAAAGCCAGCACTTTGAATTGAGCCTGGTAGCAAACTGGCAGCCAGTGGAGCTGATGCAGCAGAGGAGTTGTGTGCTCCCTGAGCCCCGCTCCTGTTAGCAACCTGGCTGCCGCACGCTGGACCATTTGAAGCTTCCGGGCCGTCTTCAAAGGCAACCCCACGTAGAGCGCGTTGCAGTAATCTATGCGGGATGTAACCAGAGCCTAGTCAAGTCTGACTCCAGTTAGTGGTGTTCATCTCCATTTCTAAGCCAAAGAGCCTGCATTGTCCGTAGATACCTCATTTTGTGGAATGGTAAAGGGTATCTGATATGCACGAATCCCACTTCTCACAGTGTGTTTGTGCCTTCAAGTCACGGTTTGTTAGGAATTATTGGAAGTCCAAACAGCTGGAGGGCAAAAGTCTGCCCATGCCTGATCTACATATACTGTAAGAGAGAAATAAAGCCCGGCTGCTCATTGGAGGGAAGGGTATTAGAGGTAAAGATGAAGTACTTTGGCCACATAATGAGGAGAGAGGAAAGCTTAGAGAAGGCAATGATGCTAGGGAAAATGGAAGAAAAAAGGATGAGGGGCTGACCAGGGGCAAGATGGATGGATGGCATCCTTGAAGTGACTGGCTTGACTCTGAAGGAGCTAGGGGTGGTGACGGCCAACAGGGAGTTCTGGCGTGGGCTGGTCCATGAGGTCACAAAGAGTTGGAAGCGACTGAGCGAATAAACAACAACAGGTTGGATGCTTGCCTTTTACCATTCTACTCAGGGAATAGAGTAGATCTTTTTATTGTAAGTGTTAAGGTTCAATACTTGTATTGTTGTGCTACTACCAGTATGTTTATTTACACCCCACTTTTTCGCTCTCTTATTATGTTTATTTGTACCCCACTTTTTCTCTCTATAAATGAGGGGCCAACCAAGGGCAAAATGGATGGATGGTATCCTTGAAGTGACTGGCTTGACTCTGAAGGAGCTGGGGGTGGTGACGGCCAACAGGGAGCTCTGGCGTGGGCTGCTTCATGAGGTCACAAAGAGTTGGAAGCAACTGAATGAATGAACAACAACAAGTAAAGAAAACCAATGTACTGTAGTACTTTGAGCATTGAGCTATGACTCCGGAAAGCAATCCTCGATTCCCTGCTTAACCATGGAAACCCATTGTGTGACTTTTGATGAGTTACAAAACCTCGGAAAAACCCTGGATAGCTTGACTTTAGGATTGCCTTAAGTCAGAAATGATTTGAAAGTATACAAGAGGTCATGAAGAGTTGGAAACGATAGAACAAATTAACAACAACAAACAGATATCCATCCAGTTTGACCCCCTTTTTATCTGTCCTGGCTCAATACTATGGGATACTGGGAACTGTAGTTTTACTAGATCTGTAGCCTTTTTACCAATGGGAGTTGTATTCCAAAGCCTCTGGAGAGTACTTCACCTTGTTGATGGGAAGCTTCCCACCGGAGTGGGAATCATCTATCGGACAGATGGCAAGCTGTTTAACCTCAGCAGACAGAAAGCCAAAACCAAGGTTACAACAACATCTGTTATAGAACTCCAGTATGCTGATGACAATGTCGTCTGTGCGCATTCAGAAGAAGATCTACAAGCCACTCTAAACACCTTCGCAGAAGCATACACGAAGCTTGGCCTGTCACTGAACATCGAGAAAACCAAAGTGCTGTTCCAGCAGTCACCAGCCATCCCCTCCCCAATGCCAGAGATACAGCTTAATGGTGTAACATTAGAAAATGTTGACCATTTCCGCTACCTTGGCAGCCACCTCTCCACCAAAGTCAACATCGACACCGAAATACAACACCGCCTGAGCTCTGCAAGTGCAGCATTTTCCCGAATGAAGCAGAGAGTGTTCGTATCCGTAGGGATACCAAGGTGCTTGACTATAAAGCTATTGTCCTCCCAACCCTGCCATATGCCTGCGAAACGTGGACTGTCTACAGACGTCACATGCAACTCCTGGAACGATTCCATCAGCGCTGCCTCTGGAAAATCCTGCAAATCTCTTAGGAAGACAAGCGGACAAACGTCAGCGTGCTGGAAGAAGCAAAGACCACCAGCATTGAAGCGATGGTCCTCCGCCATCAACTCCGCTGAACCGACCACGTTGTCCGGATGCCCAACTACCGTCTCCCAAAGCAGTTGCTCTACTCCGAACCCAAGAACGGAAAATGGAACGTTGGAGGACAGGAAAAGAGATTTAAAGATGGGCTCAAAGCCAACCTTAAAAACTCTGGCATAGACACTGAGAACTGGGAAGCCTTGGCCCTTGAGTGCTCCAGCTGGAGGTCAGCTGTGACCAGCAGTGCTGCAGAATTTGAAGAGGCACGAATGGAGGGCAAAAGAGAGAAACGTGCCAAGAGGAAGGCGCGTCAAGCCAACTCTGACTGGGAGGGGTTGAAAATTTCAGGGAGGGTTGACAATGGGGGGGGGGTTGAAACCTTCCTCCTAGCTCACGCTGAAGCCAAGAGCACAGCAGAGGGCAGAGCAACCTTCTATAGCCTGCAGCTCCACCCCTGTCAACCACCTCCACCAAGTCTGGCCTCCTTAATGAGAGCATTCAACACACACACACCCACTTGGTTGCTTCACTACATCGGCTATTGCTGCAAGTAATGACAGTGTGAATAAACTGTCAATATTTGCTTGAGATAGTGCTTGCAGTTCTGGAGGGACTCTTAATTTTTTGCATCTCATAGACTTAGCATGGGGATTTGGTTAACCAGTTAAAATTCATGAGTAAACCAGTTTTTTTAAAAAAAATCTGAAACATTTCGGGGGAGGGTTTGAACCCCTAAAACCACCCCCCTCGCTACAGGCCTGGTGCCAGGAGGAAGGCGCATCAAGCCAACCCCGACCGGGACCACCTTCCACCTGGAAACCAATGCCTTCACTGTGGGGAAGATGCGGGTCAAGAATAGGGCTCCACAGCCACCTACGAATCCACAAGGAAACCCATCATGGAAGACCATCTTACTCGTCCAACGAGGGATCGCCTAAGTAAGTAAGTAAGTATGTCCTGAAATAAAACAGCGAGCTATAAATACGGATACCTGTTGCTGGTTCACAATGGACTTGAAATTGGATCTTATGGTGTTAGGTGGGGATGGGGTTGTTGTTTTCCCCCCTTCTGCATCCAAGAGGAATTATTTGAGGCATCTACACCAGGCAAGGGCCAAACTGGGCCCTCCAGGTGTTTTGGACTTCAACTCCCACAATTCCTAACAGCCTCAGGCCTCTTCCTTTTCCCCCTCAGCCGCTTAAGCGGGAGTTGAAGTCCAAAACACCTGGAGGGCCCAGTTTGGCCCTTACCTGGTGTAGATGCTCCCTTCTCCTCCCCCAACTCCTCCTTCCCCCTCTTCACTCACCAGGCCGTCGATCTGCACTTGCTTCACCGCAGAGTCGCCCGGAGCTGACTTGCCCTTCACTTTGGCGACGGACGACGAAGGAGCGCCGGCTGCTTCTTTCCGCGACGCCATCGCTGAGAGAGAGAAAGAGAGAGTGAGCACGCCTACCGGGAAAGGGAAAGAGCGGAAGTGCCTTCTACCGCAATAATAGCGTCCGGGCGGAAACCAGGCGCCCATGAAGAAAGGTTCCGGGAACGAGACAAGTTGGGCAAAGTGGAGGAGTGGTTGGCAAAGCATGTGCACTTGGTTTTATATACCAATAAATAGATACAAACACGCTTATACACAAGCATATTTACTAAATATTAGTGCACGTATATCTAAATATATATTTAAATATAAATTATATTATAAATATTGTACAATATAAATACAACACATGTAAATGTATTTTCTTAAATATATGTGCTTTTTTAATGTTTTATTGTAACGTGTACTTTGATATTTTACCGATTGTATGTGTCTTTATGGTTGGAAACCGGGCTGAGTCCCTCTTATGAGGTGAGAAGCTCGGTATATAAAACTTTGAAATAAATAAATAAACATCTTAACACCTCTCAACAGAACATTTTCCCAGGCCAAGCCTTCAGATGCTAATGAAGGTGGTCAGCTGAAACATTCACACCTAGCTCCAGCAGAGAAGAGCTCTTTGCCCCACCCCAGTCATTCCACAGATATATAAACCCATTTTCCTATTTCCAACAGACCTCACTACCTCAGAGCCCCCGGTGGCGCAGTGGGTTAAAGCACTGAGATGCTGAGCTTGTTGATCGAAAGGTCGCAGGTTCGATTCCGGGGAGCGGCGTGAGCTTCCGCTGTCAGCCCTAGCTTCTGCCAACCTAGCAGTTCGAAAACATGCAAATGTGAGTAGATCAATAGGTACCGCTCCGGCGGGAAGGTAACAGCGCTCCATGCAGTCATGCCGGCCACATGACCTTGGAGGTGTCTACGGACAACGCTCGCTCTTCGGCTTAGAAATGGAGATGAGCACCACACCCCAGAGTCAGACATGACTGGACTTAATGTCAGGGGACTACCTTTACCTTTACCTAGGATGCTTGCCATAGATGCAGGCGAAATGTCAGGAGAAATGCCTCTAGAACATGGCCCTATAGCCCGAAAAAACCTACAAGAACCTAAATATTATACAGATTTAAATACATTGTTTAAATATATAATATAAATTGTATTTTAAACATTGTGCAGTATAAATACAAAATATTTCCATGTATTTATTTCAGTTTATTATGTTTTCTCTATTATTATACAGATTTAAATATTGTGTTGATATATATGTCAGGAGAACTGTAAAAATGTGCAAAATTTTATCTGTTCATTGTATGTATTTGGGTTATGTATGTATAAGTAAGTTTGTATCTTTAATTGCTGAAATGCTTGTGATGTGGTTTTGGTTAATTGGGTGCAGGTGGATCTAATTACTGTGGTTATAATGTGTTGCATCTGCCTGCAGCCAGCAGCAGCCTTCAGCAGCTTTCAGCGTCCCTCAGCGTTCTGCTATTGCTATAGCCTTGAGCTTTTGGAGAAGCTATGGCGTTTTGGAGTTTGGGACTCTAAATGTTTTGTTTAGGGTCTGATATCTGATGCAAGATGTTTGTTTTCTTACTTTTGATGTTTTCCACTATGAATTTATAATAAAGAAAGACTCTGCTAACAGGTTATGGGCCCAGAACGCTGCATAATGCGCATGTCTGAGGTAAATATGTGGTGGAACATTAAGAAGTTTTTGAAGGCATTTTTTGTTGGAATCTTCTGTTCCTGGCTGTTTTGATCAGCAGTGAGGTTTAAAGTGATGGCTTGCTGCTGTACACTAAACCTTGGAGGATTTGCCTTCAGAGAAATCAAGAAGATTTATGGCTTGCTATGTTGGAAAATTTGCCTTCTACGTGCCTGAGCAGCAAGGGCCAACTAAGTTGCTTTCCTGTCTTGCCTTGCACAGAGGTGTTTTCAACAAAAGTTTCAGAAGCCTAAAGAAGAAGAAAACAGTTTGTGTGTCAGACCCTGTGTTTGGATTCCAGAGAATTACTGCAAAGATATTGGACTGCTAGAAGCCAATTTTACTTGAAGTAGTGAATATAAATTGGCTGAGCTTAAACCCGGGTGTACTGGGGGTCTTTTCTTTTGGTGCAGTGAGTATTTTTGTTTCTGGACTTTTTGGGACTTTAAAGTGAAATACCACAATGGCTTTGCCGCCTCTTCAAGTTGGTTCACTCCCTTTTGATAAACTTTCTGAAAGTAACTGGCTCAGTTGGAGCGTCAGATTTAAAGCTTTTCTTGTTTCTCAGAATTTATGGGACATAATTGAGAACTTGCCAGCTCAATTAACTCCTGCGGATCAACATAAAGATGAAAGAGCTTTGGCACTTCTTCAATTGTCTGTGTCAGATTCTTTGTTGGTGCATCTTCATAATATTTTGCATGCGCAAACTGCGTGGAATTTGTTTAAAGATATGTTTCAGAGACAATCAAGCGGTTCGAAGATAATTCTTATGAGGCAGCTGTTTAACCTCAAACATGAGGAGGGCTCTCCAGTTCAAACTCATGTTACAAGAGTTGTGGCTCTTTTTTCGGAGTTGAGAGCAAGAGACATTATTTTTCCCCCTGAGCAACAAGCGTTAATCTTGATGGGATCTCTATCTCGCCCTTTTTATGCGTTCATGGACTCTCTTCATGGAATTCCTGACAGGGATCTCACGATACCTTTTATTTCAGGAAAAATTATGGAATTTGAGGCTCAACGCAAATTGAGGAGTTTTGCTCCTATACAGAAAAGTTCAAGTTCTGGGACTGCTTCTAATGACACTGCTTGTGTTGCTAAGCCAAAATCGCAAATTGTGTGCTTTAAATGTAAAAAGAAAGGGCATTATGCTAAGAATTGCAAACAGAATCAAGGACAATGGAGAAACAAGCAAGTGGAAAGACCTAGTTCTTCAAAGGACTTACAGCATGCTTTCCTGGTGACCTCTAAGAAGGATATAATGAACTCTTTTATTATAGATTCAGGCTGTTCTCAGCATTTGGTAAAAACTAAAGAACTGTTGACAAATGTGAGAGACTCTGATATAAATTTTATTTCTTTAGCTGATGATAGAAAAGTTAAAGTATTTTCTTGTGGTGATCTTTATATTGACAGTCTGAAATGTACTCTTGAGAATGTGTACTATGTACCCAATATTATGTATAATATTCTCAGTGTTAACAAACTTCTAGATGAAGATTTTGAGATTTCTTTGAAGAAGAATAAGTCTAAGTTAATTGACTTTCAAGGTAATGAAGTACAGCTGAGACAAGAGAAGGGATTTTTTGTTTTAAAGTCTGCTAAAAATGTGTCAGCTTGCATTAAGCAGATACCTGATAATCCCAGGCCATTACACGACAAATGTATTCATGAATTTCACAGGAAAATGGGTCATTTGTCATGGCAGTATCTAAGACAAACAGCTGAGTTGTGTAAAATTCCTATTCAAGGATGTAAGAATTTTCTAGATTGTGAAATTTGTGCAGCAGAAAATCTTAAGAAAGCTCCTATAGCAAAATACAGTGCTAGAGTTTCAAAAAGGATCTTAGAGCTTATACATATTGATGTATCTGGTCCTCATCCTACTTCTGTAGGCGGGTCAAAATATTTTTTGATTTTGGTGGATGATTTTTCTAGGTTGAAATTCACCTTCTTTCTAAGAACTAAAGGTGAAGTTTTTCAGAAAATTTCTGCTTGGCTGAAGCTAATGCAAACACAGTTTCCTGAGTATCCAGTACAGGCTTTTCAAAGTGATCGTGGTGCAGAGTTTATGTCCAAACAAATGAAACATTTGCTTGAAAAGTTTGGCATAGTTCACAGGTTAACAAATCCTTACTCACCTAGTGAAAATGGGGTTGCAGAAAGGTGGATAGGTGTTCTAAAAATTGTAGCTAGAAAAATGTTAAGAGATGCTAATTTATCTGATGGATTGTGGGCTGAAGCTGTGGCAAATGCTACTTTTGTGCTCAATCGTTCTTTTTGCAAAAGTGTCAATAGTATTCCTTATTTATTGTTTTTTGGGAAAACTCCTGATTTGAGTTCAATCAGAGTTTTTGGAAGTGACTCATATGTCTTAATTCCTTCTCAACAAAGACATAAGAAGGATTCTATTTGGAAGAAATTGAAATATCTAGGCCCTGCTTCTGAGTCAAAAGGTTGGAGATTTTGGTGTGGTAATAATAGGGTGTTAGTTTCTAAAAGTGTAAAGTTTCAACAACACAGTGGTTGGGATAGGATTCATTCAAATAAGGAAGTGTTTCTGCCTTTTAACACTACTCAAATGCATACACCACTAACCACACAGCCAACTACACAACAAGTTTCACAGCAACCTGCTACACAAGTGCAATCAGTTTCACAACAGTTTGCACAGCAAGATATACAACCAAGCACATCTCATGATACACATTTTGGTTCACAAGTGCAAGTGAAGCAAGAATCTGTTTCTAGTCAGTTACAAAGCAGTAGTCCTGTAATTAAAAGGACAGAATCTCAGAAGAGAAAAGCTGAAGCTGAATCCTCTAGTTCACAAAGTACTAGCTCTAGTAATTCAGAGACTGATGAGACTGATGGAGGAGATAGTACTAGGACCATTCCTAGACGTAGTTCTAGGATAACTAAGGGTATACCTCCAAAGAGATATCATTGTGAAGTTGTGAAAGTACCAGACCATGACTGGTCTGAACCTCAAAGTTATAAAGAGATGTTGAATAGAGAAGAGACTGAAAGAAAGCTTTGGTTAAAAGCAATGCAAAGTGAATTTGATTCTTTGAAAGATTTGCAAGTTATGGAGAAATCTAAAACAGTTGATAATGCAAAAGTTCTAAGTTGTCGTTGGGTGTATAGACGTAAACAAACAAAGGATGGTGGTTATTTGTACAAAGCCAGATTAGTTGCTAGAGGTTTTGAACAGATATATGGAGAAAATTTTAATGAGATATTTAGCCCCACAGTATCTGGTGAAGCACTAAAAATAACCCTTGCAATTGCCAGTAATAGAAATTTAAAAGTCAAACATTTTGATGTGAATACTGCATACCTTCATGCAGATTTAGAAGAAAAAGTTTATATTTCTGCTATTCCA